CGGGCAGCTGGGGAGAGGGCGCCGTGTGCCCGGACCGGGGCTGTTTGCTGGGGCTCCGCGTCTGAAGGAAAAGAAAACTGACATCTCCATGAATTGGGCTGTGAGTCACTGCAGAAGCTATTATGTCACTTCTGATAGAAAAGGCACTTTGCAAATCTATTGTTAATTATTGACACAGTATTTATAAATAGAGTTTATAATGAAAACACGGCGTGTCCTGAAGTACCGACTGCGACTCTAATGCAAGGGAGCTTGAAGTGCCCGGTGTTTGCAGGAGCTCTGCTTGCGGCTGCACCTGAGGAAAACCAGCGTACGTTCATCCGTGAAAAACTCTGAGGGAAAGCGTTAATTAAAAACGCATTTCTCTGTGGCTGACTTCAAATCAATACGATTTATGCAACTTAAGTCTCTCGAAGTGTGCGTCACGAGCGTGCACGAACTTCGGTGCGGCGTTGGATGCTGTGCGGGTGCTGTGCTGCTGCATCCCCTGCGGTGAGCTGGTGAGGGTACCCGTCTGGGGGCAGGGGGGGGTTTGTGAAAGGAGGGGGTAGTTTCAGCACCGTCAGGAGAAACCACGGTCTGGAGAAACTTCAGAGTTCGTGACGTTTTGCTGTGGAGTTTCAGGAGAGAGGCTCCCGCTGCGGACTCGGAGCCCATAGCTGTGCTGTTGTGCACGGGTGAGACGAGCGTAGCTCTGCTCCCGGTTTTACTGTCGTTACTATGTGGGGAGATGTGCAACTTGGGTTGCCTTGGTTAAAGCTTTGGTGGTATTAGAAAGCAAAAAATACCCAATGCAAGTAATTTTCATTGCTGTTTTGTATCTCTCATTTACTCAGTACTCTTTACTAGGAATGTTTACTAATACACCAAATGACACACAACTGCAATGAAATTGCATGCCCAGGAGGGCTAACCAGGAATCACGGCTCCTGCCAAAACCAAGAGGACTGGAAGGCCCTCGGCACCCTTAAAGAGCAGTCCAGAAGTCACTGTGCGTAGGCATTATTACTAAAATATTTCTGTGCTTTACAGAGATCTTTTAAATATTTAAAAACAGCTGTAGTGGAGTGCTTGCAAAAGTCAGGGTCGGTTTGTATGCTTGCAGTATTATGTTCCTGTTTCCCATTAACCAGCAGCTGTTGTTGTTTTTTTGGGGAGGGTGGGAATAAGAAAAAGGAAAAAAAACCACCCAACTCCAGACCCTGCATGTGTGTGTGGTGCATTATTTGAGGGAAGACAGGAGATCCTGGCAACTGAGTTGCTATAAATTTCTATAAGCTTTGAAATTGCTCCTTGGAAACCGCTAATACCTAAGGCTCCGATCTTGCAATGTTTGCTCATCCAGTCTCTTTGTCCCTGTAAAAGTTGGTGGGAATTTTACAGCGGAGTGTAGTGGTGTCAGGGTTGTCCTACTCTGCTGTGCAGAGACTTGGCACTCTCGGTCACCAGTGCCACCCTCTGTTCACTGGTGTTCCGACTGGACAGGTAGCCCGGCCTCACAGCAAGGCCTCTTCACATCAACCCGTTTCTTGTCATGCAGAAAGGAGACATGCGGAAACGGAGGCTGGCACGACGAAGCTGAAAACAAGGAAAAGGGAGCTCCAGAAGGAAAACTTGCCATGCATTTTCCATGCCCAGTGAGCAGGTGTTTGTGCCTCGCCAGCCATGCTTGTTCAGGCTGTGCTGAAAATGTTTCCCATGCTGATATGCCAGTGACCGGCTTCTCAGCTGGCCTGTAAAGAAAAATGATCGTACTTTCATTGTTGTCCTCCTTGCTTGTCGTATCTGCTGTGTTTTCTTTTAAATTGGATGTTTTCGTTACGAGAGGGACTCACCCTACGGAAGTTTTTTGTACATGGAGAGGAACGTACTGTTTACATATGAAATTGGAAAACTTCTTGCACGCAGCAGCCGCGATGTTGGTGGTTTCAGAGTGCAGCGTTTTAAGCTAGACGTGTTAAAATGGGCCCCGATTCCTTCCAGTTGTGTAGATACTTCCCCCGCCATGCATATACCCATTTGTCCTTGCTGTGTTAACTTACTGGCTCTGGGGTAGAGCTATGGTTACAAGTTTTAATAATTATCCTTTATTTAACATCCTGTTCCCTGACACTGTTCTTGTAAAACCTGTATTTTTTCTTAACAACCAGGTTAGGAATTTGTTCAGTATTCTCACTAGAAAAGATACTGGATAGTGCCAGTCCAGTCCAGTAGAACATTCATCTTGTCCAGGGAGTTACCTGCAGGTATCCCTCTTTACCCAACTCCTGTGTAGAGTTTACTCAAGCGACACTGAACTTTGAACAGAAAAAGAGCGGATGCCGGTGACATGCAGTTTACCTTGCTTTTTGATCACGTACAGCACTAGTTTTTGTATGTGAATGTTGGAACCAGGATTGGAAAATAACACCTTTGTAAAAACCAGCCTAAATAGGTGCAATAGAAGTTGGAAGTTTCAGGCTGGTCTGAACTGTCTTTTGGCCTTCTGGTCCACGTATTGTTAATTATGGTTAAATTTAGTGCTGATATCAGAATCTCGGTGCTGTCTGGTCATTTTTATGGCAGCAGGAAATGAAAATGCCCTTATCTTCAGCCCATTATGCAATTACAACTTCCCTTCTGTGAGGTGTGTGTGGCTGTGGGGGTCTGTGATTGCTTTCTTTCACTCTGTGGTAGGTATTGCATGGGTGAAACGGGCAGCAGCCACTGGTTAACACAGTTAACACTTGTCCTTTACTTCCAGGAACAAATGAGAGACGATGCTTCACATTCTGCTTTGAAATAGTACAATGAAATATGTGTAGTTAGCTTCAGACACCTAGGAGCGACAAGGCCAGGATCTGTGGGTGCCAGCTTTTGCTTCTTGTGGTGCCTGTGATGGGACAGCAAGTGCCGGACCATAACTTCGTGGGTTATTTGGAGCTCTTGGTGGTGGAAATCTTTTACTTATTTTGAAAGGGAGACTTTTAAAGCATTTGCAGTTAACATCCATGGCATCAATAAGTTTATAAGCTTTTGAATTATATGTTTGATTTTCTTGTACAACGTACGGGGGTGATCTCTGGCAGTTTCTTACGGAGGAGTGGTTGGGCTGTGAACAGCAAATTTTTGTGAAGAGGGACATGGGCTGTTCTTCATTAGACCATATGTTTCATAGTATGAATAATGTACCCTTAAGTAAATTATTTTAAAAGGTTCTCTTTTTTTTTTTTTCTTCAGTCAAATTTGGGAATAGACTAGGTAACTTCAATCTTAGGCTTTTGGAAATAATCCTGGCCTGTATCTTTGTGAAATGACAGACTTAATAAAGAGCTATAGCAAGATAATTCCTCTGGCCTTCATGGCTCACCTATTAGGAAGTAGGCTAATGGAAGAGGTACAGGTAAGGTTGGCCTCCTAACAGCAGTGCTGAGAGGCAAATGGTCTTCTGAAGTGGGGGTTGTGAAGCGCTGCCCTTGAAATTTTGAGCTTTCCTTGTTAATTGCCCAAAATGTATCTTAAAATGTGCTCTGATTATAACCTGGGTGAATGGGGAGAAAAGTGGATGGCACTGACTCATCTTGCAGACCACAGTGAAGATGGTCTGTGCTGAAGCAGTAGCTTGGCTCCAGCCCAGCTGAATGTGCGAGGGCTTTCCTTGTGGGAGAGCTTGCAGGGAGACAAGGATCCTGAAATACTGTAACTTCATCGGTCAGGCCTATTGAATCGCCTCTGCTTTAAACCATGGTCAGGCTTAAAGTGGTGTCGGGGTCACTGGATGATGGTATCGAAGTCTCTGGTGAGGGCAGAAGGGGGAGGAGGGTTAACTCTGAGCAGAGGATGGCTTCCCTCCTGGTAACCAAATTCTTTGGGTTCATTAGGAGCCACTGGTTCCTCTGCAGGGCTGGCCCTGTGCGCTGTGGGGGCTTGTCGAGGTGCTGCCCTGGATGAGAGAACAGGGAGGTACTCGGGAGTGGTAAAAGCAGGAAGGAATCACCCTCTTCCTCTCCTGGTCTTCTGCATCCACGTACGCTTTTCATATACGCTGTATGTAGTACAGCACGTGCACTCCCAGGCTGAAAGGCCAGTGGGTTTCATAGCGTTGGCACCAATTCTCTTGGCAACATAGATGTTCTTAAGGAGATTGTTCTCAGAAGCATTTCTGGAAGGAGGATACTTCTGAGGGACTCCCTAAATCTTATTTCTTGCCCCAACTTTCTCTCCCTGACTTGAGCTGTAAATTTTACTAATCCTTCAATTGTGGTTAACTACAACAGCAACCAAACTCATTGTTTTATTCTGATATCCTCTCCTGAGCTTTTTTTTAAAGTATAAAAAAGCTTATATTTGGGTTTTAGCAGAATTTATGTAATTAAGGGATGAAAATAAAAGATATAAGTACCTGAAATGAAAGAATGGTATCGAAATGCTACCGTAAAGTTTAGCGAAGACTTGACTGCTGAAATGGGTGTCCGGGTGCTTTTGTGCATGCTGCACTTTGACCGTTAACTATCTCAGGGGCATTTTGGTTGTTTGGATTTGTAGTGCCTTTCAGATGACCAAACCCAGAAGGTGAACAGTGATCAGCAAAAGCTTGAAGAAGTGGGGTGCTGTATAGCGCTGATGGTGGAAGAGCTATGTTGTATTTAATTGATATGCTAAGCAGGGGTTTTTTCCTCAAATGACATTCTTCTTTTGTTGTTCTTTTCTGCTTACAAAGGTGTGAGTATCAAATTAACTGAAGTGCACCAAAATGAAACCCTAATGAAATTATAGACTGATAATTATCATCTCTCAGTTAATTTTCTGTATGTTTTTCAGATCAGCTCTAGAAAACAAGATGTACTGGCAAACCATCCTCACCGTGTTTGTGCTGTTGGGTAAGTCATTAAAGAAATAAGTCTGTTGTAAATAATGCAGAATTAAGAGTAATCACCATTTCTGTTTTATAGTGGTGTTTCAAGTCATGTTCCTGGATAGTATCTTACCACAACATGCAACTAGAATATACAAAGGACCTGATGTTGTCATTATGCAGAATTGAAATGTTGACCCTCTCAGGGTTGTGCCTATGCGTCTTATCCCAAAAAGCAGTGCAACTGACTTTTAAGATCAGGAAACATCAGTAGAAAGTATGTGGTGAGCGAAGACACATTCAAATAAACGCCCCAGATGCAATTTGACATGGTAGAAGCTCATGGGCAATTTGTGCTGTTACTCTGATAGGTCCAACAGCGGAAGGGGGAATCCTGCGTCCGTTGGAACTGCGAGTTTCTGTTGAGTTCAGTGTAGTCAGGCTGCCACTTTGAGTTTGAGCTCTGCTTTGTTAGGTAGCTGACATTCGTGCTTTGGAGTGCATGGAGCTCTTAAGGGGTGCTCAGTTAACTGCAAATGTTGGATGATATAAACCGGTTTTCGAATTGGGAAATGCCTGTAACGATACTGGTCTGTGTGGTTCAGGGACAGCTGGTATTTGCCTTTCATTTTTTTGATTAAAATAAGAACTATTTAAAGACTTTTGGTGATGATGCTTGGGGAGAAAGCAGATGCTGGAATCCAATGAAGTTAGTTTCAAAATTTGTGCCATCTTGTACCTTCACAAAAGACAAATCATTAGATTTCTCTCTCTTTTCTATATACATATACATCTTTATCTTTATATAGATGTACCTTTAACCACTCAGTATCAAATACTGTGTTGTTCACAGTCTCTTTTAAATACCTTATGTAGTCTAAATACGTTGTGTATCGTTTAATTAGAAACCCTCACGCCTCAGGGAGTTTTCATTAGGCTTCAGAGCAGTTTGTCATCTCTGATGGCCTGTAATGACTGAAGGTCACTGTATCTACTGCGTGGCCATGACCGTCTGATTCTGAATAAGCAAATAGCCATGGCTGGCATCTTTGTAGCCCTGTTAACCAAGACATGAAATAATCTGCTATTTGAGGGGCAGAACGGTAAGTGGTGGCCTCCTGTGTCCGTGTCACGGTCACACCGTTACGCCTTTAGCAGGAAAACGTCTTAATGCACACTCCAGTTTATTAACAGGCATTTAAGCGCTATAGCAATCCTGTGCTAGATGTTCTGTATCGTAATGCTTTATAGTGCTTTCGTTTTTAACACTTCTGCAGTAAGTAGCTGCACACGTTCTGACTTTATAGGGTTTAATTAATCCCATGAGATTGTCTGTGATATGTGAGGGAGCCCTCGTTTGCTAGAAAATGAGGTGACTGTCAGGACTCTGCCTGCCCCCCCCCCCCCCCCCCCAAAAAAAAAAGCTGACTGTGAAGCGGGCAGTGTGTTAGTTACCTGTCCTGCTTCATGGCCAGTCGTGCCACTTATTTGACCTTTTTAACCACTTATTATGGACTAATAGTCTGGTTGGTCAGCTGAATCCTCCACGGGCAGCCGGGAGGCCTGAGGAGGCTGGTATTTACAGAGACACAAACTGTTAAAGGAGAGAGGAAGGAGGAGCAGAGCCCTTCAGGACTCTAGCGGTGCAAAATCCCTGCAAAGAGAAAACAGAACACGTTAACACGCTGCATAGTAGCACAGTGGCTGCTTTTAAGGTAGCAGACATCTACTTTTAAAAATCTTTCATTGTGTGTTTTTATATTATTTAGCTTATATGCTGTTAATCAAACAGGGAAATCCTGTCTTTCTTATTTTAGCTCTTGCAAGGCGTAGAGCGTGAATTAATTTCTATCTAATGAACTGCTTAAAATATTTATGCCCTTACTGAGTGAAAAGCTAAAATGCAAAGTGCACAAATGACCCACATGCCTTTCTGTAACTAGAGCTTTAATCTTTGCAATTCATGCGGTGTTTTACAGTAAGCTGTTTCCAAAACCGGCATGCTTATCGTTCTCAAAATCACTGTTAGCGTAATTCAAGCGAAGGCTTACCAACAAGAGTTACAAATGTGGTCAGAGCTTTTTATTTTGAAGAATCTAAGTCTGATGGAAAAGATTATTCTTTTTCTACATCTCATTTCCCAGATAATGCCCTGGGGTTGTGTAGCCACATCCAGTCATTCGTTCTTGTTACGCTGTTCTTTGGTATTTCGTCGTTACAGTGTGACTGTGTGTTACATTTACAGTGGGATTATTTTTCCTATGGTAAAGGAGCCACGCTGTAAGAGCTGGATTGCAAGTGTCCCAGTGCTGCAGAGGGAGGTGATGAGACACATACCTGTATAGTGTGTGAATTTAGATTTAAGCTTCAATCTGTTTTGTATTAATGTGAGCCTATTTACCCCAAAGAGGCGCGTCTCCTACAGTCTTGATCTTGACCTGTTTCAAGAGGGTGCAAAACCAAGGAGTTAGGTGTAGTGACTTCGGAGGAGACGGCTGGCATCTATCAGCTGTGACACCAGTTCAGAGGGGATGTTTTTAGTAATTTTGCTCAGCACTCAGAGGAGAATAGCCCTGGAAATAGTCTGATTTTTATGTAATGAAGGCGTTTCTGTATAGCATCAGCCACTTCTGTTTCATTGTCAAGTAATGATTGTCAAGGTGATTCTGCCCCTCTACTCTGCTCTGGTGAGACCCCACCTGGAGTGCTGCGTCCAGCTGTGGAGCCCTCAATATCAGAAGGATATTGACCACTTGGAGCGAGTCCAGAGGAGGCCACGGAGATGATCAGAGGGCTGGAGCACCTCTCCTATGACGAAAGGCTGCAAGAACTGGGCTTGTTCAGCCTGGAGAAGAGGAGGCTCCGAGGAGACCTCATTGCAGCTTTCCAGTATCTGAAGGGGCTACAAGGGTGCTGGGAGAGGACTTTTTACAAGAGCCTGTAGTGATAGGACAAGGGCTAATGGGTATAAATTGAAATCAGGGAGGTTTAGATTAGATATCCGGAAGAAATTCTTCCCAGAGAGGGTGGTGAGGCACTGGAACAGGTTGCCCAGAGATGTTCTGGATGCCCCATCCCTGGCTGTCTTCAAGGCCAGGCTGGATGTGGCTTTGAGCAACCTGGTCTAGTGCAAGGTGTCCCTGCCCATGGCAGGGGGGTTGGAACTAGATGATCTTTAAGGTCCCTTCCAACCCGAACCATTCTGTGATTCTATGATTCTTGGCTGATGCAACCGTTTTCTTTTATTCCTGACATCTTTGCCTTTATATCTGCAGACTTTCTTCAAATGGCCATTGCCCATTGTATGGTCCATCAGATTTCTCCCAGGAACTTTACGTTACCCAGTCTACCTCTGAATGAGACATTTCTGAGTCCTTTCTCTGCTGGAGTTGTAGAGAACTGGTCTGGTTTGAGGAGAGAGCATGGAGCATCCGAAACCAAGCTTCCCTTGCTAACGAACGAAGAAAGTTTTCTGTGTTGTCTTTGGAGCGATAGCAACATGGATTGTTCTTTGTACAGAGCAAGCATGGAAACAAGGAAGTTTATCCCTTCAGAAATAAGTATCTCTCTGTCTCAGGAAATAGGTAGGTTTTCCATGCAAGGGCATAAGAAGTTACTGCTTCTTCAAAAAGTGGTTGGGGTTTATTGTTGTTGGGGGGTTGTGTTGTACTGATGGATATTCATTTTTATCCAGAGCAGACAATGTAGTATGATAAAATCCTTCCTTGCAAAAGTCTGGAGTGGAAGGTGAAGGAAATGGTACAGCACAGTTTCAAAGGGGGGAAAAAAAAAATTGGCTGTCTCTCCAGGGGAATTTTGAATAAAATATGTAGCACTGCATCTGAGGATGTAAGCCCAGATCTTCAAAGGGATTTAGGTGCCATGAGAAATATTTTAAATATTTTTGAGGATATGGGCTTTAAACTCCGTCAGGAGGCAGATGGAGAGCAAGTGCCATCTTTTCTGTCTGGATTGTGATGCCTCAGTGAATGTCTGTACATGGATTAGATCGAATTATTTTTTCCTGGGCTGTTTTTCTCCTCCTGTAAACCACGATCTGGGCAGCAAACTGGCCTCTTGGCGGGCTGCTATCAGCGTCAGGAGTCTCATTGACCTCAGTAGAGTAGAATTTCATTTTACAAGAACTGTCCCACGAAACAAATCTCTGTGAGAGCCTGCCACACTAAATTTGTTGCTGTTGTGTACGCAGTACAGCTGGCTGCGTGTGCGCAAGGTCTACGCAGTACAGCCACATAGAGGCTGTCCCAGTTAGCAGGAGCAAAACCCGCAGCAGCAGCTGAGTTTTTTTTCCCCTTGTGCCTTGTCCATGAAGCCATGTAAAGTATTTTCCTCCTCTAATAACTAGAAAGCAGCAGTATCACATGGGTTGTTAGTCTTTTCAGTGTTTAAGGGCATGCCCTGGTGCCCAGTTCAGCAAGGATTATCCATAAACATTTGCACGCTTGTGGTCCAGCCTCACCTTCGTGAATACCTGTTACTTGTCCTCTCTTTGTGAGTGAACTGAATCCTGGCTCTTCAGTTGGGTTAGTTTTGTTTTGTTTTAATATGGTTGGGAAACCTTTAATCCCTTTCTTTTGTTCAGATTCAAACTGGGACATGGAATGTTGGATTGAAGGCAAGCTGGACCTGTTAGTTTGTCGCCTGCGGTTTTTGAAGTTGTACCTGGGAGCCGACTTGAAGGTTAATCTTTTCTATGCTGCGTAAGTAAGGACTCTTAAATTTGTCACTGTTAGCTTTAGAAATCTGAAAGCGTTGTCTGTAAGATGACCATAATGTGCTCTCTCTTGAAGTAATTATGTTAGTTAACGTTTCATGGGATGGCAGATGCTGCTCTGGTCGCATTGGTGCCTCTGCAGGAGACCCACCTGTGCAGCTGTCACGGTGGCAGGTATTCTCTGGAGTGGTAATAGATGGTGACTGTCCTGACTGGGGTTGGGCAGGACTCGTGTACGTGGCGTGCGTGATTTGGTCTATAAAAAGATCTATTTGATTCCACTTAGGAAATCACACTGTTTGTTTCAGAATTACTGATAGGTTGGGAGGAATGGCATGGACACAGACTTAATTTCCTTAGGAAACAGGCTAAACATGAATAGTTGAATTAGCTGAATTTACAGGTAATGACTTCTGCTTAAAAACCTAGATGTCACTTGCCACAAATTATCCCTGTGGTCCAGGTAGAAAGCATGTTAACTGGTAATAGGTACGATTGTTGAGTTGACATAATACTTTAAAGCTGAAGTCAGATTTTGAGTGGGTTCCCATTTCCAGCATTCCTCGTTACTTTGATTTCTGAAATACCATTGCCTGTGTGTTTACGGGAGAAGTAGATCTGACTTTGCCTCTGTTCTGTCCAGGCTCAACTGCAATACAAAAATCTTTGCCAGAAATGCTAGTGCAGTAATCTCGATATTGGATGTTTTTGGTATGTCTAACATCCGTGGCACGACAGATTCGAGTCCCAGCTGGGATGAAGAGGTTCTTTGTATTAGGAAGGGAATTCGGTAAGCGTCATGCAGTTCATGGGAGCAGGCCCTGTAGACTCACTGCAGTCCTTGTGGCATTTCTCTGTGTGATTACTTTTTTTCTGCAAAGGCGAGATGCAGTGCAGTCCCTGACTTTGGAGAACTTGTTTCACTCCCCAGATTTCATATTAATATTTATCTTTTAGTGTCTCTGTGTTCTGGGGGAAGAGCTAGCAAAGCATATCGAGTTTTGGGAAGGTGACAGCTTTCCCTTTTGGCTTGCTGATACCTTAACATTTTATTCACATGAGCCAAAATACCTTGAAAACATTCCCAGTTTTAAAAATATGCATTCCTGGCATGTGTGACTCCCTGGGAGCCTGGAGATCAGGCCAGAATTCCCACATGCAGGACAGACTATGTACAAAAATAATGACCTAGAAGAATCTGCAGCAAAAAAAGCTTGGGTCCTCAGCAGCTTTTAATTTTTTCACCATTAAAGAAGCATCCTCTTGTTTTACACACTCACAGTTTGCCTGCCTGTAAATGCTATCAAGTTACTTTGAGTAGAAAATGCTTTGTTCTGTCCAAACCAGAGCTGTGACAGTATTGTGTAAGGGGCCTGAGCCAGGGGCACGTTAGGGCTTTTATCTTCCCTACCAGCATGGCTTTCCATGGAGAATGGTTTTTCTGAAACTTAATTAGACAAATTAGGTTAATTGTCTACCAAAAGTGAATGATGAATGCAGAGAACCCTGATGGTTAATTACAGTAACAGGAATCACTTAGCCTTAGGGATCCTTTCGTAGTAACACAGATGAATGCTCTCAGTTTAATTTTGAGCAGGGATTATAATTCACCTTTTCAGCAGATGGGGGTGTATAGGGGCTACTCACACTCCTGACCTGTCTGACGTACCTGTGAGGCTCCTCTTTAGTTCTGGGCCTGGGCTGCCATGCTTTTAAGGATAAATCACGCAGTTTGCCTCAAGACTGATGGCTTAGTTGAGTGTGTCAGTTATACGTTGAGCCTTCTCTCGCTGCAGGACAGACACTGTATGGAGGAGGGAACGGAGCTGGGGAAGGGTCTGGAGCACAATTCCTGTGAGGAGCGGCTGAGGGAGCTGGGGGGGGTTCAGCTTGGAGAAGAGGAGGGTCAGGGGAGACCTTATCGCTCCCTACAGCTCCCTGAAAGGAGGGTGCAGAGAGGGGGGGTCGGTCTCTTCTCCCAAGGGACAAGTGATGGGACAAGAGGAAACGGCCTCAAGCTGTGCCAGGGGAGGGTTAGATGGGATATCAGGGACAATGTCTTCCTGGAAAGGGCTGTCAGGATTGGAAGGGGCTGCCCAGGGAGGGGGAGTCCCCATCCCAGGAGGGGTTCAGAGCCGTGGGGACGAGGTGCTGAGGGACAGGGGTCAGTGGTGGGCTGGGCAGTGCTGGGGTAACCGTTGGACTGGGTGGTCTTAATGGTATTTTCCAACCTAAAAGATTCTGTGATTCTTCAGCTGGAGAACATGAACCTTGTGTTAGACTTCTCCCCTGAGCTAGGTTCCCATCACATGTTCTGCAGTTCAATGAGGCAGCTTGTTCAAATACGTATTGTCCTGGAGCTGCTGTGTATCGGGTACACTGAGATGTAATTATTGAACCTTAGAACCCCGGACAGGCTCGCTCCCTCAGTTCCTAATCAGGGTAGCACTTGCACAAACGCAGTAGGTAGTAATACTGAAAGCAGAGCTACAGTGGGGACCTTATTTCAGATATGCCTCAACATAGCTACCTAAATGTGATGATGTACCTTTCCTGAAGTCAGAGGAATTGTAGAAGCTCATGTATTTCTTCCTAAACAACTTCTGACCTTTTGGTTTTGGTTAGGTGTTCCAATTGCAAGAAGTTGATTGAAATTCAGTAAAGATGTTCTGCAGTGTGTAATTTAAAGTCTAAAAGTTCTCCATGAGGCCAGAGATTAATTTAGCATAAGTAACACCTTCTGAAGTGCACCAAAACACAAAACACTGGGGAGGTTTTAACTTAAGGTGTTGACTAAAAGAAGTCTCTGTGCACAACTGAAAGTGCAGTGTTTGGAGTGGAAAAGAGAAGCAGACTTGGACACAAGCCCTTGTTGTGATGTTAATTACTTTTGTGGTTCAGGGCATGCAGTATTCATCTTTTTTCTTCTCTTCTGCAGTGTCTTATGCTTTAGTCCCACGTTTCCAGCCTAAAGTCACATTGCCTTTGCACATTCACCTCCCTTCTCTGCCAGCCATTAAAACTAAGTGCAGGTCACTAGTTTTCTGTTGACTCTGAGGTGGGCTCCGGCAATCCAGTCACAGAATTCAAACGCTTATAGCTATCTGTGCCAAGACAAGTCTCTCCAATTCCAGCAGCCAGCACTATAAAACTGAATGGGGACATAGTATATACTAATACATTTTATAAGCCCTCTGTCTTTCCTTCTTCCACCACAATTTGGTCTGGCTTAGATCTGATCACTGTTGCGTGATGTGAAGTGCTTGTTGAACCAGGATTTTATAGCTTCTCCGTGTGCTGCAAGGCTGATGGAAATCAGTTTTTAATAGCCCATTGCTTTGTTTTAAGCTTACCCAAAATTTTTCCTGTCATTCTACTGAGTAAAGGCACTGACCTCTCTTGAACTTGAGGGCTTCATAAGCATAAGCTTCTCTAAAGTCAGTATCTACAGTTTAGGAGCAATGGTTATTGTGTGACTGGAGCCATGTGCAGCCAAACTGAAGATGACAGGCTGCTTGTGCAATCCCAGGCTCCCGCAGTTCTCCAAAATACTTTGGCTTTCTCTTGTTTGGCTTGTAATCAGGTCTCGTGCATGTACCCCAGGCTCGGCAGTTGGGAGTGAGTTGATGGCCCTTCATGATCCTGTCCTCCATTGATCTTATCCCAGACTCAGTTTTGTGAGGTGGTTCCTGTGTCTTGCCTGTTCACAGAAACGCAAAGATCGTTACCCTGTTCCTTTGTATCTGGTCATCTTCTGCCGGGAGCAAACCTGGCATCTGATATTGGAACCACAGACTGGTTTGGGTGGGAAGGGACCTTTAAAGCCCACCCAGTCCCACCCCCTGCCAGGGGCAGGGACACCTTCCACTAGACCAGGTTGCTCCAAGCCTCATCCAGCCTGGCCTTGGACACTTCCAGGGATGGGGCATCCACAGCTTCTCTGGGCAACTTGTCCCAGTGCTCTCCACTCTCTCCGGGAAGAATTCCTTCCTGCTGTCCCATCTCAATCTCCTTCTTTCCATTTAAACCCGTTACCCCTTGTTCTGTCACTCCCTGCCCTTGGAAAAAGTCCCCCCAGCTTTCTTGTGTAGTTTGGTGTTTCCCCTTGCCGTGTGCTGGTTGCCCGCAGAGGCAGTGAGCTGTCAGACAAGGCTACAGCGTACAGGTGAGATACTGGTAATTCTCTGTCACAGGAGTGGAAGACCTGCCTGGCATGGAGCCACAGGGCTTTCCTCCAGTTACACCTGCATTTCTACATACCGTATTCTGTAGAGTGAACATGTTTGTGGGGTAGGAGCAAGGAGGAGTAACAACCCGTGCCTGCTTACTCTGAAATAAGTGGCCTTTAAAGCACTGTATTGACACAGCACAACACAGGGAAGAGTACTCTAGCACTTTTTCCCCTGTACGCAGGTGGTCTTCTGGGTGTAAATAAGCCTAGTTTGATGGTTAAAAATTGAAATAATTATTAGGAATGATTGGGAGAAAGATGGGGTGGTGGTGGTGGTAACTGTTTTCCAAGTAGATTAGATTCAAGACACGGTTTGATGAGAAGACTGCATTCTTATGGTTCGATTGTGGGTTTTTTGAGGCTAATAAAATCTGTAAGCAACAGTAGAAGGCACGGAAACTTGAAAGAAAATTCTGCGAAGTCTTTGAAAAGCAACTCAGGAGAAAGAAATGGAGCCATGACTTCAAAACCAAAAATATTCAAAGTAATTTAGAAGCTGTATGTCTGCCAGGTACCATCGGTGTAAGGTTCCATTATTCTGGTGTCCTAAAGTCTATGGGTCCCAGTAAAAATGATTTTAGGAATGTCAGTATTGACTGACAGTAGCACTAATAAATGTAAATTCATACGAACCTGCATAGCTGATGGGGTCACTTCTGCAGAGTACAGGTGCAGTGAGGGCAGAGTGTTACCGAAAATCCCGTGTTCCCAGCTTCAGAGTATCCTAAACCCAAGGTGGATGCACGATGTGTGTGTGTTGGTCTGTGAACGGTGAGGGCGGTGAGGCCCCGACTCAAGCAGACCCATGCGTGTGTATCGTGGGTTCCCGTGCAGTCCCCGTCAGCGTGATTTGCACGTGCCTTTCCCAGTGATTCATCAGCCCGTTGTTCGCTTCCAACCTCTCCTCAGGTTTTGACCTTTTCGTTTTAAAGTAGGGCAGATTATGGTAACGGGGTCAGTGAATCATGCTCATTTCCCATGTGCTGTAGAGTCCGTTAATGTGCTGGATACCAAATTGGCTAAAAACAAACAAAAAAGCCAAAAATCTTGTCCTTTCTTCTCCTCCAAATGTAGTCTTCTCTGAAATTGAGTGTTACAGGGAGTCAGACATCAGTAAAGGTATTGAAAACTTGTACAGACAGGTTCCTATTCTATTAACTTCGTTTTATTTCTCTGAATTATTAAAGCCCTTGCTATACAGAAATAATTCCAAAATTACTTCAGAACAATTCAAAACAAAAGCTTTTTTGTAAGGATGAAATGTCAAAAGCAGGAAGGAATCCAGGCTGGTTTAACTGTCGGGATTTGTCTTGGCTTTGCTGCTGCGAGCAGTTTGGCCGCAAAGTATTCACACTATTACTTTTGCTACCTTAAGGAGGCCTGTGTGACTGGGTGCTTGCAGTACATGGAACACGTGTGTCTGTCTTCGAAAGAGCCTGGAGAGTGCCTGTGGAATAGGAATCAGAATGGAGAGTACTTTGGGAACTGCTGGTTCAGAATAGAAGTGGCTTTGTGCCCCCTTGCACAGTTTTAACTTCATAAATCAAGAATAGTCTGACTAAAGTCAGTGGAGATTGAAAAAGTGTATACAAGAGAGATCACACGCATGAAAATTGCTCTAAAATTACCTGTAAACCATACTTGGAAAGCATCAGTGTACTGATACGTACATGGGAGATAGTATGGGTGGTCTTTGGGCTGCTTCGTGAAGCTGGCCCAAGGAAAATGCTGTCTGTTTTGGAGAGATAATCTAAACGGGATGCATTTCAGTAGGAATGCAGATGTGCTTTTTGTATCCGATGAAACATTTGCTAGCATCAGGAGAAATAAAGTGTGACTGCTTGTACCGATATATACTCCTTCATACTTTATTTCATATACGTTGACATCATACTATTAGAAAACGAGACTAAACTGTTGGTGAAGCATGTATTTTGCCCGTACAACTATTAGTTGTTTAAAACTTCAAAACTTTCTTTTAGACTGTACAATTTTTCAGTGGATTATGCAATTAAAAAACTGTGTATGTTAAACTGTCAAGGAAAGGAGTGTTAAAGAAAAAAAAAAACCCAACTTTGAAACTAAATCTGAATGAAATAGTCAAAATAATCTGTCAAAAATAGTCCCGTGAGCTTTAGTCTGGGCAGCAATGAAGCAGTAAATTACTTGCTAAATACTTTCCCTGAGCCTCTCCACGACAGTAGCAGTGGTGTGTGTGAGTGAATTACTTGCTTTCCTAGGAAACATCAGACTATCTGAGACAAATACGCTGTGCATAAAAATAATTAAAGCTTTATCTTGGAATTAACTGCACAGTGTTAAGACTTTTGGATGACACAGGTGACTATTTCTTTTTTTCCAAATGCTGTAGGTTGATGAAAACGGGTACTTAACTGTGTTCTGAATGGGGGAGTTCTTTAGCCTTTTGTTACTCCACAACTTGTTTTTCGCTTGACTGGGAGTTTCTGGTGACTGCATTTTTATTCGTACTGCTTAATTGTAGCAGAAGCTGGAAGGAATGTTGAATTGTCTAGATGTTAGTTCGGTGCCTCCTGAGTAGGGACTAGAACGTAATCTCTCTGAGGAGGGCCAAGAGCTGCCGATTAGTCTGCTGTAAGGTAAACTGGGAAGTGTCTGGTCATAGTTACTGGTGGGAGTCGGAAACTAATCTGACTTAACTCCTGGTGTCACCTGGCATTGTAACATATTTGAAAGTCAAACCTTAGGAATACTTTCCATGGCATCATCTTAAACTACTTGGAAACCATTTAAAAAGGAAGGAGCAGCAATTAAAAGCCATTGGTTACCGTTACTGCCTTTTTTATTAATTCTTTTTGGTTTTGGTAAATGAACCTCATCCAGATGGACAAACCTCCTCTATTAAGATATAGAAATACTGGTTTGCTTTGGTTTATGCTTTGTTTTTTCCCTCGTAGATCCGAGCTGCCGCTGGGAGATGTATCAACAAGCTCCCTAACGGGGACTGTCACGGTCGCTGACTGTGGCTGCGGTGAGCGTGACAAGTGCGAGTGCTGCGTGGCCTCCCCGCGACTCAACTGCACCTACGTCATGTGGCTGAGGATCACGGTTGGGGTGACACCCCTGTGGTCACCTTTGATGTCACTCAGGCCCATAGACATCGGTACGTAAGACCTACAAACCGTTTTTAATGGAGGGGAGCAGCAGGATTTCTCTTCTGGAGGAGGGCACAGACAGAGCTGTCTGGTGCTGCCTCCCTTGCTCAGGGTGTTGCCGCAGGCGTTTCGTAGCCGCCTCGTGCCTGCCTGGGCTCTAGCACAAAACCATTCTGAGCAAAGGCCGGGCTGCCGACGTACTCGAGCTTTCATTTCTAATCAGGACTGCTCTGTGCCTGAGCCTGGAGCAGTGCTGGGGCTCTTTTGTCTGTGTTGCTGAGGGCTTATAAAGTGAGGGGAGAAAAGCTGTTCCTAAAGTTACTTACCAGGCAAAACTCACTCTTCTTGCAAGCAGCTCTGTTGTCCTGATGCTTTCTTCCTTACACAAACAATTTTCCAAGTTGGAAAACCTTCCTCTCTATTTAATTAAGTTAAAACCATACAGACATGAATTTGATCCATGTTGCTACCCAGATACGTAGTTAGTGCAGATCTTGGCCAGTTTCAGAGAGGCAGGGACGCTGTCAGCCATGGAGAAAAAAATGGTTTTAGAAGCTGCTTTGTAAGGGACGTGCTTTGCAGACACAATACATTAAAGGTCTCTGGGTGGGCTGGTTTTGGAGAGGAGAGGTTGTGTTTATCATCGTGCTGCTTTTAAATTATGCTACAGGAAAAAATTAAAAATTCAGAGTTGTGTCTACGAGTGTTTAAAATGACGTAATTACTTTGTCCTGCTTAGTGAAGTGTATTTTAAAAATGCATAATATTAGTGTACGTTCTGCCAAGATTTAGCTCAATTAAAAATTAATTTGAAAGTAAAACTATGAATACTTGTGTAATGTAGGGCTGTACTTGCTCACAGGTGCTGTCAGGGCAGGTGGCATCAGCAGGACAGACGTCATTTTTATTTAAGAGTCAAAGTTCTATGTAGAAGTTACTGACTGGCTTAAAAGCTGTGCCTGTTTCCCAGGAAGAGTGCACTAATCCCAATCATCATTTCAATTGCCTGTTCATTTCCCTCCCCAGAGAGTTCACTTCATCCTTGTGGGAAGTTGCTGAACCCCTCAAATTTTTACTTTGCCCTCAGGTGGCTCTTTCACAGCCATAATCACTGCGGAAAGGATGGGAATATTTAGGAACTCTTTGTGTACAATATGAGGACATTATCTCCCATCACTTATGGAGCTGAGCAAATTGCTTTGCTGAGCACTCCCATCCCTCTCAGCCCTCTTTTCAGCAAAACAGCATGGTGCTTGGTTACAGGGAAGAGTCGTGGCCCAAGGCAAGAAATTGATGTAGTTTTAAGGCAAACATTAGGTCAAACTGCATGTCCTGGTAACGAACTAGGTAACAGTGCCCGGGTGACTCTTCCACTGACGTTACACAACGTTACTGTGCTGTGCACAGGCTGTAGAACAGCTCTTGAAAACTGAGTTTAGGGGAAAGGGATGAAAGGGACTTCTGAGTCTGTAAACCCGCTGCTGCCGGCAGTCACAGGCAGTAAGGTGAGCAGTGAACTTGTCAATTCATTTGTCCGCAGTAAAGCCTGAACCGCCTTGGAACCTGCATCTCGAAATGACGGAGAAGGGTGAAGTGAGGGTGTGCTGGTCTGCGCCTGTGCCGATGCCATACCCGCTTCAGTATGAAGTGAAGATCTCTGCAAATTCGGGCCACAGCGGCCAGGAGGTGAGTGGGCTCTGCTCGCTCTGCTTTGAGATGGAGCGGGCAGGTCAGAGGGTCTCTTCAGAGCTCGGGGCTTCTCACCTCTCCCTTGTCTTTGGGCAGTGGCACTGGTGGGCTGGTCAGGGAGCTGGGCATGGCTCACTGGTGTCTCTGGAGCTGGTGTGTCTGGTAGACTCTGGTAAAGGTCAGCAGGGTGTGGAGAAGCTGGCAAGCTGGGTTTACGTCTGGTACCCCTGGAGAGCTGCTAGACAGCCATGAAAGAGCTCCCATCATTCTTTTTGGATGAAATGCTAGATTCTGTGAAGTCTAAAGGCAAAGCTCTGTCAGCAAACCCTGAATTCCATGATACACACGTATATGTTTAATATTTATAGCTTTTATTACTACCACTTGCCTGGCTCTGGAATAAAAAGCAACTGTTAATTAGCAGTATTCAAATACTGCTAATTTGAATACCACCATATTCAAATTTACAGTAAATTTAAAGAAGAAAGCTGTTTTATTCTGACCAACTTACTGCCTGAAAACTACTGTCTGGACTATTTCTTTTGGTTCCCTTTGTGTCTCTTTTTCGTGTTTCACTATACAACAGTTAATGGCTTCTGATAATCCAACAGATGGTTCAAGCTGCTCTAGAAACCTCACTGGCCATAGACAATTTGCTACTTGATTCTTCATACCTTGTACAAGTACGGTGCAGGAATCGTCGTGGTCCAGGGTTCTGGAGTGACTGGGGCACACCGTACAAGCTCAGCTTGGGAGGTGGGTCACGCACAGTCGCTGGCGTGCAGTAAGTGATCTTTTGGAAGAGAACACATTTCCCAGTTTGGTTTAGTTTGTGGAACGAATATTCGAGAGCGTGTGTTCTCCAGGGAGGTACAGTGTGTGTGAGTTGGGCTGAAAAATCCTGTGGAAGTTCTTTCCCCCTCTGCATCTCTTTCTGCCTGGCCTTGCCCGAGCTTCTGCTCTTTCTGTCGTACGTGCGCGTGTTAGCAGAGTTCCGGACGAGAGCATGGAGACGGCACAGGCAGTTCCATCACACCTCCTTGTCTGGCCCTGTTGCTTGCTCACCCAGCACCTGTTCACACCTACAAAAAGCTCTTTTTCTAAGAGTTTTTTCCATTTGAAAAGACAGTTGGCAGCATTTAATCTCTGCTCAATACAAGATTTTTCCCTTAATGCTTTCTCTGACTTTTAGTTTAGTTTGAGGCTTTGTAGCTGAAGTAAAAGTGGGTTTGTAGTTTTAACACAGAATCACAGAATGGTTTGGGTTGGAAGGGACTTAAAGCCCACCCAGTGCCACCCCCTGCCATGGGCAGGGACACCTTCCACTAGACCAGGTTGCTCCAAGCCTCATCCAGCCTGGCCTTGGACACTTCCAGGGATGGGGCATCCACAGCTTCTCTGGGCAACCTGTCCCAGTGCTCCCACCCTCTCCGGGAAGAATTTCTTCCTGATCTCAATCTCTCTCTTTCAGTTTAACCCCATCACCCCTTGTCGTGTCACAAGGCCCTGGGAAAAAGTCCCCCCAGCTTTCTGTGTGTGTATATAGAACTGTATACCTTGGAGAATTTTTTGGTGTAAATACACATTTTCTCTTACTACTGATACTTTCAGAGAGGGTTTGTGAGTGTATGGAGAAATGCAGGTGTAAAAGAGGGGCAGTAGATGCTGTTATATAATGTTTTTAATTAATCCTGTTATGGGATATGTAGTTGTATTAAACACACATCTCGCTGGGAAAATAATCCCGTTGTGACAACCTGATGGCAGCAGGGAGGGGTTAATTTCTTCACCGCAGCAAGCTCAAATTGGGATATTCTCCCAATGGCCAATGTTAGGAGAAGCCAGTGGAAGAACAGCGGAGCGTGCGGCAGAGCGGGAGCAGTGAAGCAGCTGGCATGGGAGCCCTGCCTTGTGTTCCTGGAGGCACGTAAATATGGGGGAAGCGAAGCAGAGGGTTACATTTTTGTACAGCTGACCACTTTCAGGTTCTGCTTTATTTTTAACGTGACAGTCTGACAGTGACGGTGTTGCAAGTCCGCTCTGCTGTCTGCGAGAGCCTGTATTTTGGAAAAATCCTGGTATCTGCCATGGTTCCTCAACTGTGGAAAGCAAACCTGAGCCTTTAAGGATTTTCATGCTGGCTCTGGGTTGATCTTTGGCAAACGGTTTCTGTTCAGTGGGTGTGGAACACCTGTAGCTTCCCGGACTACCCGGCTGACTGAGGCTGAGCTTACGCATGTTTACGTGCTACTCCGTGTCTTTATGCCTTGGTGAACTGCTGCCTGGGTCCCTGCTGCCGTTCGGCGTTAGCCACACTGCTGAGGCTGTAAAACAAATTTCTGAGACATTCACCTCCTGCTGACTTCACTAGGAGCAGGATCAGTAGCTACTGGAAAGCTTGATTTTTATTCTTCTTGTAACTTCTTTTTGTTCAGTCCGCTCTCCCGCAGTTCTGAAGAGTAACGCTCCTGCCGTCTGAGTTGCAGTGTTACAGCAGTGTTTGAACTGACGTGATTTCAACATCCTTGCAGGGTTCAGAGCGTTAGATTTGCTTTTCCCAAACATCACTCTTCTCTTCTTCTCTCCCTTTTACCTGAGGTCAATTCTACGATTTTAAAATTCGTGGCGTACGTGTGAGCGGCGTCGCAGAAGCTAACCCTTCCTAGGCTGCAAGTACTTGTTGCGTTATTTAAATAATTTAAACCAGCTGACGTGATGCCTGAGTGAAAAGCAGCAGTGTTAATCTAGTTTCCCAAAATTTAATTTACAGGCTGATTCCCTGTTTCCCTTGTGCTGCTGTCTATTGTCTCACTGTACCCTCCAGTGGTTTTCTGCTCATTTAATTCCTGCTTGCCTGGGGATATTAGAGATTATTTTTCTCAGAATTTACAAGCTTCAGTTATGGAGGGAGACAGTCAAAGACTTGTTTCTGCCCTTCTCCCCTGTAGTTGTTCATAGTAATTAAGAAGTTGGAAATTTAGCGATGCAACTGGATTATTATAATAATATTTTTCTACAGACGTGTGCTTTTATGGTTTTTGTTCGGATTCTGATCTCAATGGATTTTTTCCCCTTTTCTCCCCCTTTCTTTGCAGCTGAAGTCCTGTACTTCCCTCCTAAGATACTGACCAGTGTCGGTTCTAACGTTTCCTTTCACTGCATCTATAAAAACAAAACCAAGATTGTAGTGTCCAAGAAGGTTGTTTGGTGGCTGAATTTAGCAGAAGAAATCCCAGAAAGTCAGTATACGCTTGTGAACGATCGCGTAAGCAAAGTTACTCTTTTCAACTTGAAAGCAACAAAACCTAGAGGAAGTTTCTTCTATAACGCATTATACTGTTGTCATCAAAATAGGGAATGTCATCATAGATACGCTGAATTATATGTAGTAGGTAAGATTCCAGATGGCTTTAAATTATAATTTTGGTGCATTTTAATAGTAAGGTCAGAATATTTCCATTTTAAACTCCAGTTAGCCTTTATTGAGCAGTTATGACTTGTAATGCATGGGGTGTGTTTTTTGTATCAACTATTATATCTTTATTAATAAGCTTTCAATGTGTTTTGATTAGATGTGAACATTAATATCACGTGTGAAACGGATGGATACTTAACTAAAATGACTTGCAGATGGTCTGTAAACCCGAACACGTTGCGCCTGGCAAGTTCCTTGCAGTTAAGATACTACAGGTATGTAGAGCTTGTAATGCACTCTTTACATTGGGCTGCGGCATGGAGCAGACACGGTGTTGTTGCAAAATACAACACAGATTGTTGCATCAGTGGCATTATCATCCTTATCTCCATGAATGCGCACAGATACTACCTGTGATGGTACTGTTTTACCGTGAAACTAAGAAATTCCTTTGAGTTACTAATACATTGAGTTCGAGAGTTTCCTAGAACTCTGTTAATCGCTCTATAAACAAGACAGACAGACAGCCCTTCCTGAGGAAATCTTTAGTTTTACTGCTCTGCTGGGCTGGATATACCAAGTTTTGGCAAATAAGCTCAAATGAGCTCTGCGGGCCTAATCCTTTGGAAGGCTGGGCTGTCTTTGCTCTTGCAAGTGGGCTGAAGTTTTGAGCTGTCATAGTAGCCAGGTGAATATTTCTCAGGATTTAGTGGACTAAAGCAATAACTGGAATGCGTGAGACTTCAACTGGAGGCTTTTAGGGCAGGATTAGTGACTGGCTGACTGCAAAGGTAGGTTTTCTTTCAACTGTCTTCACAAATATGAATATAGAGAGTGTATTGCTGGGCAGGGAGCTTGAAATAAAAACCATGCTGCTCCCAACATGGTTTTGATTCCCACTTTTCCACTGCTGAGGTTCAGCTAAAAATGTTATTTTCTAGTAGGAGGTGATAATCAGTGCATTCGTTACAGTGTTCCTGCGAGGTCAAACAGTGAACATTAACACAGACTGAAAAGGCTTCCCAGATGCCAGTGTGTACTGTGGTCTTTCTTTCCTCTTTCCTTCGGGTTTGTCAGCAGTGAGATCTGAAAGAGGAAAAATAAGAAAATAAATCAATCATGGGTGACCGCATGAATGTGAAGCTGAAAAGTGTAAGACGAAGCCTAGGCTGAAGTATAAGATGTTTAAAAATGTGTAGTTGTGAAAACACCAGTATCGGTTGCATAACCTTCGTCTGCATGTTAGGAACAAATCAGAAAAAGAACTTGAGTGTCTGCAGGCTTGGAACAACGAAACGGTCAGGGCTTTAATAGCCCAAGCTGGATTGTAAGAGGCACCACAAGCACACTGGAGGTTTGCTGAGGCGTAGGCCAGTCTTCGCGGTGGACGTTGGCTGTTAGATGTGTCGCATCAACGTCGCCCACGCCGGGTTTTCCGGGAGCACGCGGCTATTCCTCCGAGTTAGTGATGCAGTTCGGTTTCACGGGTGAAATCCAGCGCTCCACAGCAAGGCGCTGCAGTAGCTTTGCGCTCGGTGTTTTGTTTTGCTTGGGTCGTTACCGCGTCTTCCTCTGCAGGCGGCGCTGCCAACAGAAACAGCGCGGAAATGATCACCCTGTAAAAACAGAGTGTGCTAAGCTCGGCCTTCAGCACACCAGGCCCCAGCTGGATCGGTGCGAGCTGTGTGGACAGGAAGGGGAGGGACCCCGCGCTGTGTAACTTTGATCCCTGATACCCTATCTGGCCGCTCGCACCACAAGCCCGAGCTGTGCACACGCTTAGGAGAAACTGGGAGAAATCGGGGTGCTTTCCATCCCCGGCCACGTGTCCAGTGCCATTTTATCCAAAGTCCCTGTCTCCTCTCTTCTGTTGCCAGATGCGATACTGACTGTATGTGGGATTTTAATGCCGCTCTCCAGAATTGATATTTTTATGGGATTTCCAGCTCCTGGAGACTTTGCTGTACGTGGCTGATTGGTCCACGTGGCAGCTTTCCCCTGGACAGCAGTTGATATTTGGAAAGTCATATTCCTGGCTGGAGGAAATCCTTGGCTGGAGATCTGCCCTGCTATGTTTATACACCCCCCTCAAGTAACGTGATTTACGAGCGTTCGGAGATGCCTTCTCTTGTCATACCTGTTTCTTCCTGCTCTCGGTCTCTTATCGAAAGATTCTGCACTGGGGAGGGCCTTCTTGTCCTACTTTTTTCAGGCTGAGAGCCAAAGCTGTGAGCAGTAACACCGCAGTGTTATTTAGCAAAGATTCGAGTTCGGGATCTGTCCAAATGATCATCGCAAAACCCCAGATGGTGCCAGTGACGCCGTTTGTTTCAATTACCTTCGGAGCTGGATTTCTCTGATGCTATGAGCAGCTTACTGTTGGAATGTATTAACTGAATGCTGTTTTTTTCCTCTTTTTAAGGAGCAGAATTTATTGTTCTGACTTTCCAAGTACTTCTCCAAAATCAGAGGTGAAAGAATGCCATTTACAGAAGAATCATTCGTACGAGTGCACCTTTCAGCCCATTTTTCTTTTATCTGGATATACCATGTGGATAGAGTTTAAGCACTTGCTAGGAGCACTTGAATCCTCACCAACTTGTGTCGTTCCAGCAGATGTGGGTAGGTCAAGATTCGTGCACGTCTTTCTTCACTTGTGACCTCGGATTTCATTCCTTAGATGTAGGTAAAGTCCTTCCTCATAGCATTTTAAATAAATTAGACTGTGGAAGGTACATAAAAATGTAGGGGTTTGGTACTGTCTTCTACAAGATATTGGATTAAGTGTTATTTCCATACATTTGGCTTAGCACAGGAGCAGATTTACTTACAGTTAATACCTGTAAAACGAAACATCCCGTTTGGCACGTTTATCCTCTTGGGTATTTTGTGGAGACATCTACAGAAGATACAAGTGTTCTGTCTAAAAAGGCACTCTCAAGTTTCTTGGTTATCTGATTTTTCTGCAGCCTTCAGTTAGTTGTTAGGTTTACGCTCCGAGAGAGTGCAGCACCAGATGTGTTACTTACACAGTTACACGTTCATTTACAGTCCTGGGGGCTGTTCCTGCTCTTGCAGGCTTTTGCAGAGTTTCTTCTGTGACACAGAGCCCTTAAATTGGTGTAAAAGCAAGAGGCAGGAACAGTGTTTGAGTGTTTTCAAACACTAAGGACGCCTGGTCTGGTCTCTGACACGGCGCGTTCGTGGGACTGTGTATTTTTTGGACACAAACGGGAACATATGTAGAGTGAAAACATGGCAGCTGGAGCACGGAAGCGCCACATGAAATAAAGCAGAATAAGAAACCACATCTGTGGTGTGTGGGGAAGCATGTGCACAGAGAACCTCAGTTAAACCACACTGGCCTTTGCATTTTGGAGCTTAAGTAGAGCAAGCAGCGCTGGATGTCCCGGGAAGGGAAGGCAAAGCTCAGGGGGCTGTGGGAATTATTGTTACTGTTACTAACGTGGTGGCCCTTTGGTTTTCAAGGTTGCTCCTGTCCAGTTCAGAGAGGGTCGCTTGTGCCTTTCTGACAAGCGAGTTTGACAATTATCAGAGCGCCTGGGAACCGGGAAGGAGGGTGGTGTGAGGGATGGCGGTTGGAGGTCCTGTGCTTCCGTGGCTTCCAGGAGAACCTGTCACCCATCAGCCTGGCAGTGATGTTGATCTGTGTCAGGCATGGCTGTGCCCCATGATTTTTTGGGGAAAGGTGGTAGCTTTATACAATGCTGCTCAGTGGGGAGTTCTAGCAGAACTTCAGAAGGTGTGTTTATTATTCTCTGGTTGCCCAGAGAAGCTGTGGATGCCCCATCCCTGGAAGTGTCCAAGGCCAGGCGGGATGAGGCTTGGAGCAACCTGGTCTAGTGGAAGGTGTCCCTGCCCATGGCAGGGCGTGGGACTGGATGGGCTTTAAGGTCCCTCCCAACCCAAACCATGCTGTGGTTCTATGTTTAAACGAAAAGCCATGAATAGTATTGACCTGCACTGGGTGAAAGGTGCTCTGCATCATAGTAAACCAAAACATACCTGTTCTAGTACCACCCCAACTTTTAAAGCTTACTTCATTTTTTTGTTGTTGGTTTCTCCTCATCCACCATTTGATGAGCCAAACCAAGCTTGTTCTAGCTTGGCTTCATTAACCAGCCTGGACTCTGTGACATTTGGGTTTGGTCTGCTGGAGAAGCTCAGTTTCGGTGGAATTTCCTATCAGTCAAATAAACCCACAACGTAGTATTTCCATTAATCATTGCATAACGTCTGTCCCATCCTTTGCAGGAGCTGCCTTTCTGGGCCACGCGTGCCGCTACTTCCCACAGCAGTGCACTCCCTCAGTACCTTTAGCTGTTTGTGCCAAGTGCTAGCACCAGTATAACCCATCGTGCTTTGAATGAAAATGAAATGCACTCAACCTTGCCAGTGGATATATATATTTTTTAAAATAAAACATTTATTCGATAAGAAACTTTGATTTTGGTGTTTCAACTTAAGATGATTGGTGATTTTAGTTTGGGTCAGAATTGGAATGAATCTCCCATTAGGCAAACACTGCCCTTCTCAGTCAGCGATGCTTTTGTCTGCTGTGAATTGGCCGGCCTGGACAGGTGAATTTTTACGTTTGCCCTACGGTCCAGCGTCCCTCGGCGTAGCAGAGGCCATGGTGTGTTACCTGGTGCCCTCAGGACAGGAGAAAGTAAACCAGATGATTGGATTTAAGGAGAAATGTCAGTGCAGACATCATAGTAACCTTTCTTTCTTTGGATTTTCTAGTGAAGCCACTTCCTCCCTCCAGCATTAAAGCAGAGATCACCAGGAGCGTTGGGCTGCTGAACGTGAGCTGGACAAACCCCGTATTCGCCAACGGCGATCTGAAATTTCAGATTCGGTACGCTGTGAACAGGGAAGAACTTACGTGGGAGGTACTGTCTGTCTCTACCTAGACTGAAGCATGAATTGTTGCAGTGTTGTCGTTTAGCGTGTTAGCTGGGGTTTGTGGAATTTGGGGCATGCAGCAAATCACGGTGCGAGCATTTGCGTTGTCTACTGAACAAATATGACTGACTCTTAGGCCACTTTCTCATCGGGTGCTTTTTCAGGCCTTTTGACTCTAGCAGATGCTGAACAACCTTTTGTTCTTACCCTTTAACTTCTGCTACAGCTTTACGAAGTTTCAAATGCACCAAGATCAGCTGTGATAGAAGTTCAGGAGCTTTGTGTTGAGTATGTTGTCCAGGTCCGGTGCAGAGAACTGGAATCAGGTTACTGGAGCGACTGGAGCAGAGCAGCCCACACGCTCGTACAAGATATCAAAGGTACGTGCGCTTTCAGCGTGTGCGCCGACGGTCTGTCCGGGTTCAGGCTGAGTGTGACACCGTTCTTTCAAAACTCTGTGGTCTTGCAGCTCCCTTACAAGGCCCTGAGTTTTGGAGGGTTATTACTGAAGATCCGGTGAGGAGGCAGAAGAATGTTACACTTCTGTGGAAGGTGAGAATAATTACCTTTTGGTCATTCACTTCGATCCAAAAACCATCAGTAGAATTGCCAGAAAGGCAGCAGGATAAGCATGTGCTGCCCTGGGAGGCAGACGTGGGCGGTCGCTGCTGATGGGACTTGATGCACAAGGCACCCGGGATACGAGTTCGTTTGTGTTACTGCCTCCTGCGTGGCTGATGCTGGCGGCAAGCAGAGGCTGTGGTAATACTGCTGTACATACCTATATGCTTTACTCCCTTCTGTTGCTGATACTTCCCCTGCCCCGCCACCCCCTTCTGTTTCTACTCTCTGTAGCCTTTCCTGCAGCAGCTAGCTGGCATGCGTCTGCCCGACTTTGTACCCTCACCATCACCAAGTTTGCACTAATGGAGCAGGAGGAGAACTGCCCTGGTGCTGTGTGATTGCTGTGGCTGGTTGGGGGTGGGTGAGGCTCGGCACAGATGCGCTGGCAAGAGGGATGTTTCCAGTCGTGGGAAGCTCTCAGGCCTGCCAGCTGATTTCCATACGCTGCACTCATCCCAGGTTCCAGCCAAATTGCCCTTGCGCGCGTCGAGTTATGCACACCGCAGCCATGCTGAGCTGCACTGGAAGACTTCCTTATTCCCGAAGTCTTCCAGCCCTTGCTACTTCAGGAGAGCCTTTGGATCTCTGGGCAGGGCGCAGGCTTCCTTGCCTTTGTGCAGACAGCAGACCTGCTGTCTGACAGCACAGCTGAAGTGCCAGTGCTTTGTGACACGTCTGTGTCAGCCGACGCTTTCCGTGCTGGCGATACAAACGCCATGAAGTGGAGACTTCACGTGCGATGTATTTGTTCTGGTACTCAGAAAGAGTGATGTGGGATCAAAGCCTGGGAGTTACAGTGAGGGGCGGTCTGCAACAGCCGGGTTCTGCTGACCGAGATCGCTGAGCACGGTGTGCCCCTGGCTCCTAGACAGCTCCTGCGTCAGCACCACTGGGACTGCTTGTGAACCGGGCAGCGCTGCCGTCCAGGGTTAACGCGGGACAGAGGAAAATGCACATTGGTGGCTGCCCGCTCCTGTGTCTAGTGTGCAAACACTCATCTGTTCTGGTTTTTCAATCCTGGAAAATGCAAATGTCAACCAGTGAGTTACTGCAGGAGCCTGAGAGTTTGTATTTCCTTGTGCCCGCTGCCCTCCCTTCGCTGGAAGGAGGGCAAGGAAATGTGTCACCTCTCGGAGCCAGGAGAAATTCAATGGCCCAGGGTGCCTTTGCTGAAAAGGCAGTAGCCACTTTGTAGAATACCTGAATTGGGTCATGTTTTCTTAAAGTTGGAACAGTGCCTTCTGCCCAAATAAACTTTGCTGTTTTAATCAAAGAGTGGGAAATTAATTAATGCCAATGTTTGCCGCAGCCGCTGCCGAAGAGCCACGCGTTGTGCAGCGTGAGCCGATACGTTATAAAGCATCGGACGTCAGGAAACGCCACGTGGTCCGAGTATGCTGACAATGGCACTACCTGTTCCTTTCCGTGGACTGAACACACGCATACTGTGACGGTTTTAGCCATGAACTCAATTGGAGTCTCTTCAATTAATTTTAACTTAACTCTGTCACAGCAAATGAGCACAGGTAAGAGCACCAACGAGTAACTGCTCTGGGATGTGGGAAATGCTGGGAATCCTTGCGATGCTTTTGGACAAAGGTTTCTTTGTAATAAAATTGCCTTTGTTAGAATAAAAATGGTTTATGGTGATGCGTTCAGCTGTATGTGGGAAACCGATTCTGTGTCTTACCAACAGAGCGATTTGAAAAATGGAATTTCCATCCCATTAAAACCTTAATGATCTTTGGGTTGGGAAAAGAGTGGCCTTTAACTGGGCCGTCTTCCCTCCACTAACAGAATTTAATTAATCAAAGAAAAATAAAATCCTACTGTAGAACTGCTCTTTCATCTACTTTGTCTTGGGAAAAATGGGGAATGTTTTGTTGTTTCCAGAATGAAATACGGGCTTGTTTCTCTGGCTGCTCACCTGACGGGCTGCCAGAGCGCATAGTTTTCAGAGGTTTGGCTTTACTCCCTAAGCAGCCGCCTTGTCGGTTGGGCTGTGCCCTGCTTTATTAATAAAGGGAAGGCTGTTGCTTTGAATACTTCAGTTGTGTCGCATTCGTATGCAAATACATGCTGCGGAGACGTAGGTGCTGTCTGTTCTCGGAACTTTGCTGCTGTAGTGCAACTTTTAAAGGATTTTTCTGGATAAAACTCTTTCTGATGTTGTGTGTAAGCGTGTTCTGGAGACCCTGTGGTTGGTAGCAGATGTAATGGGAAGCGTTTCTCCGACTGGGTTGTTACCTCGGTGTGTTACCCGGAGAAATTCAGTGGGATGTAGCTTCCAAGGTTCTCAGCGTGCTTTCCTAGGCACATGTTGGCGGCTCAGAGGTTGTCGGTCAATTTTTTGCTTCGGGAGTGGTAATTAAGGAGATGCACGTGAGAATGAGGATATTTATTTGATGTCTGGTGAGTAATCTGATCTGTTTGGTGTTAGGGACTAGTTAGTGTAAGCCAGGCTTTGCTGCCTATAATAGAAATATGTGTGCTTTTGTGAACTACAGACCCAGCTTCGCTGTATAGAAGATAATTAAAGAGGTAAACGATAAAGTGCTGAGACCGTAGCAGCCATCCATATGCACGCGGTTCAGAGCGAGGCCTCTCCTGCTCACCCAGCTCCCACCTCGCCTCTGCCCGAGCCCAGGGATTCACGGCTGTCTTCTTCCTCCGGCAGTGAACGCGGTGCAGTCGCTCAGCGCTTACCCCGTGAACAGCACCTGCGTGATTTTGAGCTGGACGCTTTCCCCTCAAACACCTCTCTTAACGTCTTTCGTTATTGAATGGAAGAACCTTAACGAAGAAGAGGAGATGAAGTGGGTGCGAGTTCCTCCAGATATTAGTAAATACTATATTTATGGTGAGTGTGCACTTGAAAATAGAGTACGTGATGTTAGTTTTTGGGGAAGAGGGAAATGCAGCACTACCGAGCTCTCGGATTCCTTTCCCCCTTCTCTTTCTGTTGGCTTTTATGGTAAGGACCAGTCGAGTGATTGGTTGTGTTAGGGGACTGACTGAAGGATGGATTGCTGCATTAATAGTCACGTTAACAAAGAACGAAGCTCAGGAGCGTGTTCATTTTTTGGCAGCACAGTAAAATCAGTTCTGGTTGCATACACTGGCTAATTATCTAAGTTAATATGTGCATTCCACTTGCCTTTTGGCTTTAATCTCAAATTCTTACAATAGCTCCTTGAAGGTGTTAATTCCATGACAGAATAATGCCAGATGATGCGGTATCATTAATTAATATTGATTATCATGAGAGTATGTATCTGTGAAAGATGGCTTTCCTTCCTCCCCCTCTGATCTGAACTCTGAGGTGCGCGCAGAGCCTCTGTGGAGGTAAAGAGGATGATAGTTTTAATTCCAAAGGCTGACTCCCTCTTTCCAGATCACTTCATTCTGATTGAGCAGTACCAGTTCAGCGTGTACCCGGTGTTTGCTGAAGGAGTTGGCAAGTCCAGAGCGACGAATCGCTTTACCAAAGGTGACTTACAGGACCTTTCTCCGTGTCGTTTGTGAAATAGGAGCTTCTCGAAGTAAACTTGCAGTGCAGGAGGAGCCGGTGTCTTACCAGCAGGATAAGTCAGTAGTAAAGGAGTTGTGATAGAAATACAACCAGCGGCCTACCCTTGGGTTGCTTTAGTTTGAGGCCTTGTGGGATTGGCTGATTGAGGGAACCTGAATTCCACAGCCAAGCTCCCAGCAATTCTTCATTCCTCGGCTGTGGACTGTTCCCTGGTGTCACACGCTCGGGTTTTGTTTCCGAATAGCGCGGGAGCTGTCGGCACCTCCCATGAGGCGTCACCTCAGGATTCGTTTCTTCCTTTGTGTCTGCCTGTTCTCAAGGGAAGGTTTGTTACGTGCAAAAGAGCTGTTCATCAGCTTTTTTGGTGTTTAAGCTGCTGTTTTTACCGTTCGTTATTTGCCCATTGCAAACGGTTTGTTCACAGACAAATTATTTTAGCGCATTATTACCTGAATTCCCTTTATTTCCAGGTGGATACGAGAGCGAGAGTAATGCCAGCCTCTCCGTGCTCCTGCCAGTCGTTATTTCGACCTCGGTTTTGTTGCTGGGAGTGTTGCTGGTTTCACCCCAAAGGCAAGTTGTCCGCTGTCCTGTCCAAGCTCCAGAGGCCTTTAGAAGGAGGTGACGGAGCCTAGATGATGGCTGGCTGCTGAGCTGGCGGGAGGGCCGTCCTGGGGCAGGCCGGGAGCAATGGAATTACTGTTCCCATAAATTACTGTTCCCATACCCTTGATGTCTCGTGCGGAGGGGCAGTGGGCTCTGCGGAGTACGGCACCAAGAATTAAAGTCTCTTGAGTGCACAGGCTTGTTACCTTGTGAAAGTCAGCGAGTTGGGGGCAAGTTAACGAGCATCACGCACTTTGAATTCGTAAAGCACTCTGAGCACCGTACTTAATTGTCATCCCAAGCCAAGGGCAGATGTAAAAGCCAATTGAAAAACTCCGAGTTTTGTGGGAGGTGGGTTGGGGTTGTGTTCGGCAAAGACTGCCCGTACCTCTTCTGTTTTGCAAAACTGCCACCTGGTATGTCACTTCTGTATTTCTTTATTTTTTTCTATTAAACGTTGGCCATCTGTAATACCGAAAACGGTTGTTTCGCTGTCACAGAGTTCTGGGTAACTAACGTTGCACAGATTCCTTTTCTGACATCGCAAAGGCGGACGACAGCAGCGCAGGCTGTGTGCGAACAGTACCAACTCCAGGCTTTGCCTAATATTTCAGATTGAAGAAGCTCCTTTGGGAAGATGTTCCAAATCCCAAGAATTGCTCCTGGGCGCAAGGAGTTAATTTTCAGAAGGTGTGTATTTCCCTGGTGCTGCTTCTTCCCCCATCCCAGGGGTCTGAGGGCTCTGAACGGCTTCTCCCGTTGGTGTGGGAAGCGGGAGCCGCGATGCGCTGTGACACGTAAGGGCCTGTACGCGGGCAGTTTGCACCCGCAGAGAAAGCTGCTCCTGATCCCGGCGTCTGTGTAATCACTGAGACAGGAAGACTAAACTCGGGCCTGTTATTTCTGAAGGAAATGGCAGAAGATTTTCCAGGTGTTTCATTTGCGTTCCCAGCAAAGGTTTCCTTTCTCATCTTTTCATTTCATTTAAGCAGAGGATGTACGGTCTTTGGAGCCTGGGCACGGTCGCTGCCTGCTGAAGGGCTGGGCCGGCGCCCAGGCTTCCGCTGCAGAACCGTGAGACGTTTCTGTTTGTAGGCAGAGGACAGGAAGCACAGGCACAATGCGATGCTGATCTGTTGGAGTGTAACAAACCCTGGAAGTAGCTCTGTCCAAGATGGAAAATGCCCTCGCAAAAGTTGGGAGCCAGTCTTATAGACCAGACTGTGGTTTGTCGCTCGCACAGGCAGAAGCTCTTAGCTCAGATCTGACTTCTTTGTAAAAAACCCTTTTGTTTAGTGTCCTGCTCTGTTTCCTTTCTTCTTTTCTGCCCTCCCCTTTTGTTTACTGCCCTTCAGACTAGGGCTGTGCTGGCGAAGGGCTGAATGCTTCAAAGGAGTTGAAAGAGCCCAGCCCTTCCCAGGATGCAGCCGCGGAAGCAGAGACACCAGACGGGTTTGGGATTTATCCAGCTTGAGTGCAGGATCTGCCCCGTTATTGGCTTCACTTGCAAGTGTGGTTGTTTTTTTTTCCTAATCGAGTATTTGTTGTAATTGAGAGCCAGCTTGGGAGTTTCCGCTGACTCCAGGCACATCAAAGTGCTCAAATCTTTCATTTGCACGAGTATGGGGTTGTCCCGTTCTGGTCTTCCTGTAGTTTCTACGTGTGGTTGGGTGCAGCAGCTGCTTGGGGAACGCAGAGACTGGGCGCGTGTAAGGCCTTGCTTTGCTGCTCGCGTTTTCCTGAAAACGCCAACACGCACGTTATTTATCCGGCTTCTTGGTTTGTTACAGCGTCAGCATGCAGCCGCATCAGCGCAGATGCCTGGATAATCTCTAACAAGAGATCTGTGTTTGGAAAAACAAGTCAGAAATCCCCAAGGAAAATCTGGTTTCGGTGCTGTTAGGGCAGTTTCGACTTTTTTTTTTTTAAACTTACAATTTTTTGTGGCTTTTTGATGTGCTGAAGTACTTCTCCGAGTTAAACGTAGTCATCTGTTAGACGAAGCTCCTGCAGACCCTGCTGTGGGGGAGGTGTGGTTGGGCCGAGGGCAGAACGGGTGGTGGCACCGCATCGGTGGGCGTTGGCAGAGCGTGCGCCTCTGGCGTGCCCACGTCATCCATAGCAGACCCACGAGAGAGAAGATCTCTTTCATCAGGCAATTAAAACATCAAGATTGTTACGGCTTGGTGTAAGCGTGTTAATTTGATGGTTAATTTGATGTGTGGTTATCGACAGTAGTTTGAAGACAGGGGAGATTCCAGTCAGCCTGCTGGTTTCAGCGTGGAAAGGTGATGGGCTTGTGTGGGGCAAGTGCCAACGCGGTTAGAAACCTCCTCGCCAGCGTCCCCGGGAGGCCACGGGTATGGCTAGTCTGCACTGAGGTGGCTGGTCAGCAGCGTGCTCAGCAGGAGCAGGGCAGTGACCGTGCCCCTGTACTCGGCACCTCGAGTGCTGTGCTCACGTTTGGGCCCCTCGCTCCAAGGAGGACACAGGGATGCTGGAGCGTGTCCCGAGAAGGGCAGCGCAGCTGGTGAGGAGTCTGGAGCACAAGTCTGATGAGGAGCGGCTGAGGGAGGCGGGGGGCTAAGAACTTCACAGGCATTAGAGATGACATCACCGATGATGTTCATTTTAAAGTCTGCATTTGTCTTGGAAAAAGGCAAATTTGTTTAAAATGAAAATTCCTCTTCAAGCTTTTCAATGGTTATCATCTATAACGCAAAGTATATAGGAGACTGTCCATAAACAAATGATAGTGCTCAGGCACCGGAACAGGCTGCCCAGGGAGTGGTGGAGTCACCGTCCCTGGAGGTGTTGGAGGAACGTGTAGACGTGGCGCTGGAGGACGCGGTGTAGTGGGTTCGGTGGTGCTGGGTTGGTGGTTGGACTGGATGGTCTGGTGGGTCTTTTCCAACCTCGGTGATTCTGCATAGTCTGGACTAAAGTAGGAGCCTAAGATATGCAAGTGAGTTTATTCTTCTCTAAAACTCTGTACTAGTCTCAGTGTTTTGACATGTTCCTGGTTGTTTTGGCAGCTTTCCTGCTGTGAAATACGGCAAGCAAATACACACAAAATCTGTTTTTTTATCTATTTGTTTTGAATTTAATTTAATTAAATAGGAAATATACATCATTCAGGGGCATTTACTGTGTAGCTAGGAGTTCCAGTGTGGCGTCAGTTCATGCTGTGGTGTGTTTTACATGCACAGATACCAGGTAGTAGTAAAACATACATTTCTCCAACATAGCTTCGTGTTTCTCTTCATGCAGTTCCAATTTAGCTGCTGTTCGGATGGGAGTGCTCAAAAAATACAACAGAAAGGCTGAATTTGACCCCAAATAACTTTCCCTGCTAGGGAATTGTATTGCTTTAATTGACATGTAAGTGAAAAGCCAGGGACACCTCAGGGGATAAGACCTTGGGTTGGGAAGCATGTGCGTGTGTTTTAACAATATGTGCATGTTGATTCTTGGAGGGCCTCTGGATTTGGCCCTCCGAGTCCAGAGGAGGCCACGGAGATGCTCCAAGGGCTGGAGCACCTCTGCCACGGGGACAGGCTGGGAGAGTTGGGCTTGTTCAGCCTGGAGAAGAGAAGGCTCCGGGGAGACCTTAGTGCAGCCTTCCAGTGCCTGAAGGGGCTACAAGGAAGCTGGGGGGGACTTTTACAAGGGTCTGTAGTGACAGGACAAGGGGGATTGGGTTTAAATTGAAAGTGGGGGGGGTTAGGTTGGACAACAGGAAGGAATTCTTCCCGGAGAGGGTGGGGAGGCACTGGGACAGGCTGCCCAGAGAAGCTGTGGGTGCCCCATCCCTGGAAGTGTCCAAGGCCAGGCTGGATGAGGCTTGGAGCAACCTGGGCTATGGAAGGTGTCCCTGCCCATGGCAGGGGGGTTGGAACTAGATGATCTTTAAGGTCCCTTCCAACCCAAACCATTCTATGATTCTGTGATTCGTTGGTGTTGAACTCACCATGACCATTCAGTGCTTCAGTGAGAGGCCGCCTCGGCCTGCTGTGCTGCACCTGACGCACCCAGAGGTTCTGGCTTTTCCGTCCTGTCATGCGATCGTCACCTACGCACAGACAGAAGGAAAAGGGGAACCGTGGTTGAGAGGATTTTCAGCTATGTTTTTTTTTGTCTGTGAGGCTTAAAGTCAGTAGCTTCATAGTGAAATAAAGCTGTGAAATAGCAGTTGGGCATTAAAATGTCTCTTTTCTTCTAGCCTGAAACTTTTGAGCATCTTTTTATCAAGCACGCCGAAGCAATGTCATTTGAGCCTCTTCTTCTGGAACCAGAAATAGTGCTGGAAGACATCAGTGTTACTAAAGCGTTGAAAAAAGAAGACACCCAGGATTTTTTGGTAATTGATTCAAAGCTCACAGAAAGTCAAGACTCTGAACACGACTCTGCTTGCTCCAGCAGCCATTTCAATAGCGGCAGCTTCTCCGAGAGCTCCCGTGAGGCCCAGCTCGGCAGAGGAATTGCAGGGCAGCCCGCTATTAAATACGCTACTATTGTCCGTGACTCCAGCTCAAGTGGGCTTTGCGGACAGAAAACGCACCTGAGAGGTTGTTTTGGTAGGTGCTTCTTGGCGGAAGATTCCTTGGCTACAGGCGCCTTCCCGAGCGGCTCCTGGGAGATGGGACACGGGATGTTCCTCGTGTCGCCTGACCCGTCTGGCAGGCAGCCCAGC